TTACTGTGCAGTAAAGTCTCACTGGGATTCAGCTTTAAAGGAGCTCTAAGATGAACAGGAAACTATATTATCCTGGGATCAATTGATAATTCTTTTTTTCTTCTGTTGTGGATAGGGCATGGTCATCTTGTAAAAAAACTGCTGTAGTCTTGGCTGTTATTGCTGTTTCCATAACTCATATCTTTTATATGGGTTTCGAGAACTGGCATTGGTGGTTAAATCAACATACAGTGAAGATGCGTTGTGGGACCCTTCTGAAATGCTGGATTGCTCCCAGAGCTCACTTGAAAGAAACTACTAAACAGTGACATTTGCTGCTTTAAGGGATCTGCAGATACCAGGGATGCAGCCTGTTGGGACGTGAGGCTGTTTGATCAGCCTATACAAGCAGTAATTAACAGACCCTCGCTACACTACTGTCGCTTTTTGCAGGTTTGTATTTTGTGTTCTTTAAAGAATAAAGACAAAAAACAAAACAATACACATGTCTCATGGTGCTGGCTGTCGTTCACTTGTTATAGTTAGTTTTACTGAAGTCATGAACACACAAGGCAAACACGACGATTCATGTGTTGAATATTGAAAGTCGGGAGTATTGCAGCAGTACACTGCAGCCGACAGTGGTTACTAACATGAGCATGTTTCAGGGAGATAAGCATCCAAAGCAGGCTTAACTACGGTCAGGCACTCTGCACTGCATATTAGCTTTCCATTCTGAAGTGGCGTTTGATAAGAAGAGTATGACAGTATAAGAACCGGCAATGTGTTGGTTGAAATATCCAATGGGAAGCTTAAAAAGTCTGCTTCCCTCCTCCCTGTACCGTTTGGCTTGTCGGAAAGTTGTGATATTGTAGTTTTTAATTCCACTCCTCTGGCAGCTCCTTGAGAGCTGCAAGCTGCTGTAAAGGTGTGTGGATTTGAAAGGTATAATAAGCGCAGCAAACTACAACCACCTGTTGTGGGCCTCCTCCAGGTTTTGCAAGGGCTGTTCTCACCAAGAGAAATGCACTCTACACAAGAGGATCCTCTCAAAAGGCTGCGAGTGAGAGGACATACAGAGTGTTTGTCTCACTCTGCAGAGTGAGTAAAATCAATGTGTTGCATGAAGGTATCAAGTAGGCTGAAGAATAGCATTATTATCGATAAAATGTACCTACTAAAGGAAAAAAAGTACAAACAGAACACTAGCATTTTTATTGTGCTGTACTTCATCTTAAGATGGCAACACTTGGATGAGTCACAACCAAAACATTTTCAGAAATAAGTGTGGGCCGTAAGAAACCTGTATTTTGGAGAATCACATATTGTTGGACAGGGTTCACCTCAATCACTCACTCAAGTGGATCTACGTCTTTTTGGTAAAATTAAATGCAGGTTCCAGGACTGAATGAACCGCCCTAAACCTTCTTCCCCCCCGCCAGATAATGTACCTTCCAGGATTTTTTTAGGACTATTGTTGTTGGACTGTAAATTGAATTGGATTCTTGATGGCAAATCCTCCTCCGTGGTAAGAGTGGGAAATGGTTTTCATTTAAAGCTAACACATGCACACACAAAATCCCACGAGCACAAAAAAAAGTGGATTAAAGTTGCGGGACAGACGTAGAGATTGACATGCACTTCTGCCAGTGCTCGTGTCAGAGATTGCAACAGAGGTATATTTCAAAAGAAAACCTCCGATTCATAATGGGAGAGTAAAGCTACGCGCAGCTTCGGTTTTCCACGTAGCTTTGACTTAAACACATTATTTTATGTTATAAAGATAAATTCAAACTTCTAATTAACAGAGAGAGTTGTACTTTTAAAGCTGCAGAGATACTGAAGAACCACTGCATTTCAGCATGTATAGTCAGATCGGCTCTTTGGACAAAACTAGTGGGATAAAATGGGATTTCTACCTTCTTGGCTTGTTTACTTTCTGCTCCTTTTTCTTCATTTGAATTATTCCTTTGAAACAAAATGATTATGGACACAAATCTAACTGCCCTGAACTTTGACCCGGTGTGCAGGTGTTGCATTTAAGTGTTGTGATTTAGTCAATCACTTCAGACCCTTTCACAACAAAGAAGTTTTCTGAAGGGATCCTCGGAAATCTCAGAGGACTGCGTTGGCTTAATTGGCCTTGTCAAGCCAGATCTAAATCAATACACCCTCACTGCCTGCAACACTATCGTGTCTCTCACGTCAACATCACGCACAAGAACTGGACGCTTCAGGTCACATTTACCATTTAAAAGGCTGTGTGCAGAGTGTTTTTTTTTTTTTTTTGACAAATGACAAAAGGATTGATTTCACCATATGTTCTCAATCATTGGGATCAGCACTTGCTCAGCAGGCTGAGAGGAAATCCCTCATTCGCTTCCCTGGCTGTTTCATTTCTCACTGTAAGCGGATGTGTGTCCTCCCTTGTCTCCTCATCTTTATTCACCGCAGGAGGCCTTGTTGCTGCACTCTGAAGGATTGTCTCCCCTCTGTCATGCCCGTACGTCCTCTGTTTCTACTGTAATAGGCCCGTTAAGGTGTGTGCAGAGCTGTGGCTGGAGTGCTTTCTCCATTTAACACTTACTGCAACATGACTGCATGTTATAGTGTGCTATCAAACATTGTCAAACTCTTTATATTGCTCATCATGAATTATAGGTGAACAGTGTAAATGGGTGATATGAGGATTTAAAGTAGCTGAAAAATACATTGAAAAATGTCTTTAAATTATCTTACAGCTACATTATTCTTTGTTATAGTGTTATTATTACGTGTGTATCTACTGCACATGAATCTAAAATAGGCAAGGTTAAAATAAAATCCAATTGCGATGCTGGTGTTTAAAAATGTTCGATGTAGTGTCTCAGGTTAATATCATTGTTGCCTGAAAGCAAATTAACCCAGGATTAGTTTCTGCTTCAGCAGTGCTGGTTTCCTCCCACTGACAGGTGGACTGGAGACTCTATTACCTGGAGCTTTGAATGTGTCTGAGCCCTATGTCTGAAACCGGTACTGTCTTCCCTGCCCTCCACCCAGTGCATGCTGGGATAGTCTTCCCCCATGATCCTGAAATAAGTGGTTGGAGAATATAAATGACTGAAAAGGGGGAATATTTCACTTAATTTCCACTGATCAGTATTTCCCCCATGCTGCTGCTCATCACCATCACTGGTGCCGTGTATGTTGCTTCTGATCGATTGAATTCTGCTCATGTATTTCTGAACGTCTTGGGCATGCAGGCACGGTACATGCGCACATTTTCAAACACAAAAAGCTCAAGCAGTTCAGTAAATGGATAGGCCGCCTGCCAATGCCTCAGACACAACTTTTCATTGATGTTTTCTTCTATTACATCAGCGTCCCGTGCTTTCTTACATTCTGAACTCATTATTAGACTTGATAAGGACAGACTGTGTGCAGCTGAGAGGACTCTGCTTAGCATGCCCTTGTTCTACATTCTGACTTGATATTTGTAAGCCAATCAGCCCGATTAGAAAGCACAATCAATACAGCCACTTTGTGCAGCCCGGTATTGCCTTCTCTTGAGAAAAATAATATCCACTGCCTGTCTCAATAATGTGGATTCAATCCACTCTCATAGGAAATCGTGTCTTCTTAAGGCCCACTATTTGTTTAGGCATTTGTGGAATAGTGTTTAAAGTGTAATCATGCAACTAAGCATTCTGACGGTCACAGTTTATTGAATCACTGGTTCCTCATCTGTTGGATAACGTGTCTTTTTAAAGCACCCGTCAATTTTTTAAAAGGTGTTTTCATGGATCAGCAGCTCCAGATTGTCTTTGATTTTGTTAGAATCTCCACTGTGTGTCCAACATCCCAAAAGGATATTGCTGTTTTTATTTTTCTAAACAGTAATTTAGCCTTACGCGCCTTGTAAATATCACTCAACCATGTCCTAATAGTTATGAGAACCGCCAATAACAAGTCTTGACCTGCTGTAAACATGCAGCAGAAATAAGATGAATCTCTTTTTTGTGTGTTCTGGCAGTCAGTCAGTGCATTGCATTTCTCCGTCTTACCAGTATGTCCTCTGTTGGATCTTAAAAGCATGCAGAGTGGGTCGTTATTCATTTAAATCAAGTGATGACAGCAAAGTGAGATCATGTCTGTCTCCAACTGTGTTCTTAATGCATTTTTGAGTATCACATGTGCAACAGGAACATACATAAATGCTTAGAATTATGCTCTGGTATATATCTGTATGTATATATTATTGTATATTAAATCAATTTACTTCAGTACAATTTTGAGGTTATTTGCATTCCATTTTCTTAACTTTTTTTTAAAGATATAGACAGGAAAAGGGGAGAGAGATGCAGCAAAATGATTGAGATGTGACCACTGTACAATAGGTTTGGAGTGAAATAGATTAGTTGATTTATCATTGGCTATTTTGATTATCCGTAAATCTACATTTTTTCAGCTCAACATTATCTAATTGCATTTTCTCAATTGTGAGGATTCGCTCCTTTCCCCAGTTTTATATCAATGTTAATTACATAATCTTTGTCTTTTTAATTGTAGGTCACCAACACTATTTTCTGACATTTCACAGACCATTAGGTTATTGATTTTTTGATCAATGGAAATAATCTCAGCCCAAAACCTTATGCATTGGTATTAAATTGCCAACCAATAAATGCAATGCATAAAATTGCCTCCACCTGCAAGCTAAAATCTTATTTCTTACAAGTATCGGCAGTGATCATTTATAATCAATTGAAAATATAATTCCATCAGGAGACATTCTACCGCATGAGGAGTACTTTTACTTTTAATACTTTGAATGTGGAATTTGTTCTTGAGAATTTGTTACACTGCTGGCTCAGTGTGGAAGCTTTTATAAACTTTTTTAGCAGTTTAGTTCAGGAGTGTACCTTTAGTCACCGGTTCCCACGTTGCAGAAAGTGAGTAACAGTTTATAGTGAGTAGAGCATCCTCAGTGCGCATGGCACGTGCGAGCACGGCTGCACTCAAGTGAAAATGTGAATCTTGTGTAAGGGCTCGATAAAGACGCACGGGGACGCTCATTTACCTCAGCCAACTGCACAACCTAAAAGTCTAATTTAATCTGCCGTCCTTCTTCTATTGTGGCGGGATGCCTAGTCTCTGGTTTGCAGCGGAGAGTGATCTCACCATATATGCACTGATGCTTATGCATGTGCAATGTTCCACTACAGCGTCCACAGGAAAGCTAATGCAGTTCCGCACTTCTCCAGCCCAAGCAAGCCTTGCGATAGATGACTTTATTTGAGAGCGGGCTTTTCCTGCGGATCAGCTGTAACTTGCAGAATTTCGAGCGTGATTGTGGTCTTTTTTTTCTGAGGAGGAACATTTTGGTGCAGGGGACCCAGAGGATACTACTACTGCTGCTGCTTGCACTTACACAAACAAGCGTTCGGCGCGTACCGATTGGATTCAAGCTGCAGTCCACTTCACGCCAACTGCATTGCCACAACTGTGGGAGAGAATGTGTCCATCATGACACAATGCGCAGCTTTTCTCATGAACTCTTTCGTGCTTCTACAGACTTCCATCCACAAGTGGGGCGTTTTTCTGCCTTTCAGCTACAGATAAAACCACTTCCCAACTACAATGGGACAACGTAATGGGCTGAGTGGACGAGATGTTGCCTGCAGAAGTGCGGTGAGAGTGCAAGGCAGTAACTTCCAGAGGACACCTGCGGACGAGTGAATGCCGCCTCCGATGTGGAGTTTGTCGCTGTCCGACGCGCGCGTGGTGCTGAAATTCGGATGATGCCTGGCCAGCGACTGCAAGGCTGCCGCTCCCTGCACCTCAACGAGGACAACGGCCGCTTCGCGCTGCTCGCCGTCCTCATCATACTTTACCTACTGTGCGGCGCTGCGGTCTTCTCGGCCATCGAGAGGCCGTCGGAGCTGCGGGCTCACGGCCGCTGGAACGGGACGCTCCTCAACTTCAGCGAGACCTTCAACATCAGCCTACAGGACCTCAACTCCTTCCTGCGGGAGTACGAGGCTGCCATCGCCGCCGGGATCCGGGCTGATGCTCTGAGGCCACGATGGGATTTTACAGGGGCTTTTTATTTTGTTGGAACTGTGGTGTCGACTATAGGTGGGTGATCTATGCAGCATTCACTGACCTTTGCGTCCATGTTGTTGGATCAACGTGTCCTCTACTTGTTGAAAAAAAAAAGCATACATTATTCCAAGTAAAACCATGTGTAGCCAGGCCCACATCGAGCCTTACAAATAGCACGTGAATACAGTCAGCTCACACCATTAAGTCAGTAATTATTGGCTCTATTTAGGAGGTATTGGAGGCTAAATACTGAACACATTTGGCATCTACTGCCCTGATAAAGCTACATCAAGACAAATAAGTTGAAGAATGTTTAATATTAATACGGCCTCTGCTTGTTAAATAATCATATAATTACTGACAGTCTGGACATCAAAAGGAGCTGCCATCCCTGCAAGCTGCTATCTTTCCACTGGCTTACATACAGAATAACAGATTAACATTTTTGTTTTTTTTTTCCAGTCATGTGTTACATTTTTGGCTGTGAGGGACTTTGGCAATGGGGGGCGACATCTGACTCGCTTGCCAGGAATGGCACACTCATCCCTGGCTATAGGACAGCACCCATGGGTGCAGTCTATTTTTATTTTTTTTTGTTGCCACATTCCCATTCAAACCAACAGGAATGTCAATGAGAAGCCCCGTCTGCTCCCCCTCATTTAACATTTACTCGTGCGATAGGTCAGAAAAGAGCAAGTGTCCCTCGCAGGGCACCCCGAGGGCCAACGGCGTGGTGCACTGCATGCCTGATGGCTCCACCGCCTCTGCCTCTTCCTCACTGATGGCTAGAGAGGAGCCACAGCATACAGTGAGTGAGTGAGTGAGTGAGTGTGAACGGGTGAACAAGCAAACGGAGACACTCCATGTAGTCATTTGAGCTGACAGCTGCTGTCTATCTCTGACCTTGCCCTCGACACACACAAACACACACATATGTACACTGTGATACCTCCGGCGCCTTCTTATTAATTGAAAACTGTGGCGAGGAGAGCGATAAGAAAAACTGATGGCTGTGCATGGGCACACAGGGACAATTGGATCCATACGAGCAGGAAACCTGTCAAAAGTGTATTAACTGTAGACCTGTCATGAGAGCTTTGCTGACTCCAGCACCTCTAGCTCTCAGGCAACCCACGTACCCAGCTCACCTAGAGTCACAGGAGGGGGACACAGCAGCTGTGTTTGTGTACATGTCTGGCAGGTTGAAATCCTCTTGTGCTCCAGTTGTCATGTCAAGCAAGATCATATACACTGACTCAGCTCCTTGGGGGAGGGGGGGGGGGACGGTGATGTCTTTCAACAGTATTTGTCGGTTTCATATGCTTGCATGGATTTCTCTCTAGATTTCCATCTCGCTTTGATCTCCACCGCCTCCCCCCTCCCTCCTGGCTCGTGTGCTACTTTTTCTGCATGCTTGTGAGCCGCTGATATAAAAGGGATTTGGGGGTCTCCCCACACAATTCAGAGTGGCATCCCCCTGTGCACTCGAGACACTCCTCCCAAACACTTATAACCTCAGTGCTGTGGCAGAGGCTTCAAACCAGCAGTGACACTGTGCTCCTCTTGATGTGCCTCCACAATATCACTTTGAAGAACAAAAGTGAAGCCGTGGTCACTTGAGGTGCTTGTTTACCTAAAGTTTTGGCCAGATTCACCGTGTTGTTTCCCAATTTCTGGGAATGATGCAGGAAAAACAAATAGTACGTTGCAGCTTTTTCTACAGTGTGGTGTAAACAACTGCAACAACATCATGCATCCGATTTCTGACGTTTTTCTTCTTTACATCCTAAGCACTTTTTTATTGACAAAGACAACCTCATCACAAGGTTTATCAGTAGCTAGTCTCAAGCTTTCCATCATATCACAGGATCTTCCTCAGCAAATTAAGTTGCCCCATTGTCAGGAATTTGTAGTTGTTTCAATTAAATTTTTTTCTTCTTGTCCTTTTGTCCATATTGGCTTAAAAGTTGACATAGAAAGTTTTCAGCTGTTGACGAGGTCACAGAATAACCTCAACTTTTTAGCCATCTTGGTGGCGTGGCTCTATGGATGGCAATGTTGATCTGTCGGTGGTTGAAATGACAGTTTAACGTTTGAAATGTTCCAACAACGATTGGCCAGAACTTTAATTGTTCAACACTTGACCAAAATACCTGCAAAACGAATGACAATCCCGTCAGTCTCAGCTGTACTTTGTGTTTAATGCTAATTAGCAAATGTTAAGGTGGACAATCAAACACAAACTGCAAATAAGGTCTATTACTACTCTTTTGTAAAATATCCCAGAGCCTAGAAAAGCTTTTTTGATGTCATTCCAATGTAAAGTCAATAGGTAACTTTTTTGGCAGTTGCACTTGCCAATCAATTTTCACACGGGTGAGTGAGTACCATCTTTGAGTCCGGTATCCAGTACAGCCATGGGTAAGCATCAACAGCATTGCATTATCATTGTCTCTGTGACCATGTCCGCATGTTGACGTGAGCATCTCGATCAAAACACCGCTGTGTCTAACTACCGCCTCACAGAGCCGCTAGTGTGGCTGTGGACTCTCATCTTGTTAAAGCTTTGAAGAGTTTATGTTTGTCTACATCCAACTCTTGGTGTTGTTGTCCTGCCCTACATTTGCAGACGCAGCTTTACTGTTTGCATGCTCAATGAAGAGGGCACAAGAGTCTGCTCCGTAAACAGAATTTCTATTAATAGGAAAGCTATTCATAACCCCCAAGGCTGATTGATAGCTGCCAACTACCAATTGGGACAGCTCTCTGTCGCTGTTTGTGGGCCTGTAGGTCTCATTCTAAGGTGCTACGGTGACATTTTTGAGAAATACTTTTGTCAGCTTTGAAGCGCTCACAGGGGTAATACTTGTCTGTGGCTCGAGTGTACTTGGTGTTGGCTGTCTGATCTAAGACTTTCAACTTGTTGAGATTAAGTGGGACAGGCCAGTTGGAGCAGTTAGTTGTTCTGCAGTTATAATATTCAGGGATATTTATTCCTGGGGATAGACTCTGTCCTGCCTCTCTTTGCCTCTGGCAGCCACTGTGGCTTCCAGCTCCATCACACTCATAACCACCCACTCAGAGAAGTCACAAAGGCAGACAAGGCAAATAGGACAGTTGAACAAACAGCATAATCCAGACCCTCATGCAGTTCGTCCTTTAAATGAGGCCTGATTTAACCTCCATGCAGTCCACAACTTGCAAAATGAGGGTACATTTCAGTGGAGTTGAGAGAAGATAAAAATCATGCTCAACCCTGGCTGTACAGAGCTGTGCTGCAGCAGAATGACAGGGCGCTCTAGCAACGTCTCTTCCCTCACCAACCTCTGATTCCAGGTCGATATTTTAATCAAAGTGGCCTCGTTAGGCTAATGGCTTCAACTTATACTGTAACGTGCAGTTTGTATTGACACTAAGAGAAGTGTTAATGCAACTCTATGGTATTTTCTAAATTGCAGTTTTTGGCGTCACATCAGATTGCATTGGAAGAGATCCTCGAAATTTTGCTTAAAGCTGCACCTATCAATATTTCTATGTTAACAATGGATCAAATGACTATGTGTAGTGTGAAAGGAGTCACTCGAAGTAACTATTTTCACCTAAATCTACATTTCTCCTCAGCTCTACAGCGTGTTGTAGCATCTTTCAGCTCATTGTTTTGGTTTTACAGCCCACAGCTTTACTTTGGTTCAGCTATAAAGGCATCAGTATTAAATTGAGACTGTTTCATAACCAGTTTCATAAAATGATACAGTATAAACATTATTAACATCATAAACATATAGCTTTTATGGTATGGCTGTTTGTGCAGGTGTTGTTGAGTACACTTCCTGTGGCTGGATTTGTCCATTTAGTTCTGTATTAAATAGATCGAGTTGGAGGAGTGAGTCTGTCAAACAGAAGCCTAGTTTGACCGTTGACCATAACATCATCAGGCTGATATATGTACGGTTTATAACCTCAGATCACAGTGCAAGAGTGTAACTTCCCTTCAAATGGAGCCAAATCTGGGCTAGTAGTGTCAGGGAGAGTACTTTTGAGATTTAAATATCATACACAGTCTACTGTAAAAGCCAAGACACAGGGCCAAAGTCTATAACTTTGCAGACTTTGTCCAGTTATGTCAAAAAGATCAAGTTTATGTGTAAAATTTGATTTAATTTTATAGCTACCACATCAGGCAATTCCATTTTACCCCACAGTGAAGGTGCACCATCTGCTGAATTTAGTGAACCTCGATACCACACAGTGTCTCCCTACAGATGCTACATGTTCAGCAGAGATACGACAGAGTCCTTTGGATGAACAATAGATCAGAAGGCCAGAGAAGACATGCACGTAATTGTTTGTCAGGTTTTGTATTTTCGTTATTACAAAATAATTTTTTAGAATTAGCATATATTTGCTGTCATAAAAAAAGTAATTATTAATGCATTCTGACATTATTTTCAGTTCCTAAAGTGAGTGTGTTGTGATAAAGAAATTATATTTTTTTGTTAACTGAAGAAAACTGCAAGCTTGTTATGTAATGATCTTGAGAAATCATAATTGCCCATGTCCTCTCCGTCATTGTGATAGTAAACAATCAGGCCTAATGGTTTAGTTTAGTGTTATCTTCCTCGTATTCTCGTGCCAATTTAAAAAGTGCTGATTTTGCAGCGGAGTCTCACTGAGGAACACTTGTGAGGCCTATTACACGCTTGTATGACCAGGGCCCATGCATCTGGATGAAACTGCAAATCAAATATGTTCTCTGTACTTTACTGCCCCTTGTATTTTGTGAGTCTCCGAGGTTCCAAGACAATATCACCTCAGTCTGGCAGAGCATGCATTTGGCATTTAAGCAGTTTGAAATGTCACATGACGGACTCCGTGGATTCCTGGAGGCTGGCTGTGTTATTTGCATCCATTCATTCAATCATTTTGATCTCCTTATATATTGTGCTACAAAATAGTCTGCTCATATCACACAAGCAGTGCATTACATAATGAGAAGAAGATCACTTTACAGTTTATTATACAGAACCATTTGA